TAGGAAGCTTATTAAAATACAAATCCAAGGCTACTCTCCTAGAGATTCTGATTCAGTAGGTCTGGGATAAAACCCAGGAAACTTCTGTTTTAACCAGAAACCCCAGTGATTCTGATGCAGAATGGCTTTAGACCACCCTTTGAGAAACACTACTACTTCTTTACCCTCCTCAGTTTCTAGGTCTTATGATAGCAAATAGCAGAGATTAACTAGGGTTACACAGGATTATTGGTGAATTTTATCACTGAGATCAACCTTACAGGACAGCTGTTCAGATCAAATGAGACTGTGTAAAAGAAATTACTCTGGAAAGTATAAATCATCCTACAAATATAAACTGATAGTATCATTACTACTATTGTCATCAATACATTCTCTTAAATCCTTTCCTTTCAAAAGTAGTACTATAATAATACTCAAATTATATTTTCCTACATTTTAGAAATAAGAAAACTGAGGCTCAGAGAAATTACCTTGCTACAGTCACACAGCTACCAAGTGGTAAAGCTAGGATAAAATCCAGGTCTAGTATTTGAAGTTAGGATTCAAATTCCATAATGGTTGAAAACATGGTCTTAGAAGAGTCAGAAAAACCCAGGATAAGGACTAGTACTTTCTCTTGCTAACAGTATGATCTGGGACTTCCAGTCTCTCTAGACTCAATTTCTTCATTTGTGAAATGGAACAGTAATAGTACCTACAATTCATTCAGTGAGGTAATATATAAAGCCCTTAGTACAGTATCTGGCACACAGCAAGTACTCAATACATGCTAAAAACTATCGTTATTATCTAGGAGAATGCTTGGATGGGGATAAAGCACAGGGAAAAGGAAAGTTGGAGATGGAAGACCATATGGAAAAGAGACATTAGAAAGCCCTACCTCATATTATAGTTGTGCTAAAACATATCCCTTCTCTCCAACAAACGTCTAGTAAAGAGATAGTAAGCCTCAAGAAGGCTGGGATGTGTGGTACACTCCTTCGTAAGGAGACACTATGCAAAGCACTTTGTTTATTAATGCCTGCTTTACCTCCATCCTTACCTATCTTCCCACACACTGCAGACTGAAAGTTCCTTTCAGAAACCTAGCACCAGGCCCAGCCAAGTGGGAAGTCAATAAACATTTTTAAATAAATCAAAGAATGGGTGGTAGGAAATCAACTTAAAATTGCTAAACAGATGAAATAAGTAATTATTCCCTAAGTCTGGGTTTCTCAAACTTGGCATTAATGACATTTTGGACGGGATAAC